TGGTTATATTCACTTATAGAACAGTTATTCTGCTTGAGTACTCAGTGTTCGTACGTCCTGGAAAGGAAAACATGAGAGAACGAGGTCTCATCTGACACCATTTGCTGGAAGAACTTTAGCTTCCGCTAGAATTATCTTTTGATGATTAAAAAATTAAAGCCTGAACCTGTTACTGATTTCTACTTCTACCATATTCTGTGGTTTAGCTACATACGTTAGTGTTCGTGTAACACTGTGATCCATGCTGACAGCAGTGGCCGGATAAAACAAGACTTGTGCAACACCGTTTTTGGCGACAGTTTACTGACTGCTCAAGCTCCCATGGCAAAGTACATAATACTGTTGCTTTGAGCAAATTGTTCCAAACAAACTTACACAGACTTATTTTCGTTGGTTATCCTTTCATTTTCAGCCTTCTAGCTTTCATTGGAGCAGACGCACTGTCCAGTAAATCACTGTTCAACCTAACCCACAAACCACAGTCCATTTTGTGCGAACTGAGGCACAGGCAAAGTTGTCCAGGAAATGAAGTCCACACTCATAAAGCAATTCCGAAATAGTTGAAGTAAAAAATGGTGTAGCGGTAAGACAAGCCTTCGACCATCTAGAGACATCGCAGTCAAGAGACACCAAAAGTATCCAATATCCCCGGAGGTTTGCAGTCGGGGACAGAGCTGTCACGCGCGCTTCTTGGAAGCTCTTTATCCAATATTTGTATTCAAGACAAGGGCTAGTTATCGCGCGTGTTAAATCATTCAAACGTTCTTTCGGTCAGTGCCTTTATCGCGAGCGTGGTCTGCCTCGATTTACAAGTTAAATCTTCCGGACTTTCTTAGCACGTTTTCTTACTTTCAAACAAAATCACTTAGCTTTACTGTTCAACGGACCCTTATCGTAAAATGTTTGGTCATGATATAGCAGTAGGTCTACCACAAGGCTGATTTGTTCTTGTAGGTCCTTATGTATTCCGGGAAACTTATCCTTGCGTCGTTCTCTTTTAATCGCACGTTTACACATTTTGTCCCAAGGGAAAAACTGAGACAACAATTCACAACCCACAGCATTGCACTTTCAGTCGAACAGCTACGAGTCCATAAAACTTTTCTAATTCGAGCTTCCACTTCGTTACAGTTTGATGAAAGGGAGACAGTTCGTTCGTCTTAGAGCTGTGTTTTCTAATCGATCTGCCTGCTTGTTGTGTTGATTTGCTGTGATGTGAGGTCCGTTCTAACAGATGTGTAGTCTGTCCCGAGATCCAGTATGAAATACGCCGATCAAATCTGCCGATAAGGGTATCACTTCGACTGTAAGTGAATTTACTAATGATGTACGAGGTGGTGTGATCAATCAAACTCTAGAGCGTAGTTTCGAACATAATCGTTCGGTTTGGTGAGAGATTCCGTAACTGGTAGCATTCCGGAAACGAGCACACTTAAAGTGCAGATACATTAAAACCTCTTTCTTCTTATGCTCGGTTGGCCGAACGGATTGGTTTGCTACGTGAGGGGATAAACTTTTCTTGTTATGCGACTAAGTTATAAGAGGCCTCCAAGTGAGCAGCTTGTTGGAGCTACCGGTTTAATTTACAGTGGTGGAAGTGGCAATTGGTATCTTCTGATGTCGAAAATTCTACCGCTGACTGGCCCAAACTTATTTGTACCTCTCAATTTTCCTGACCCCATCAACATGGTACACACCTCTGAAAAATGTTTGGTTCCCATTTACTGACAAATTCAGACCTTGTTACATCCTCACATCCTGGAGTGAATCGCAAACGGACACATGAAATAGCTCTCGTCGAAGGGCTTTCTCGCTTATTGGTTCATGAAAAAGGTTCCTGTGCATCGATTTTGTTTTGTACGATAACTCCTTATTGAGTGACTAGCCATACGACAATTCAGTCTCTAACACCTCCCTCTCTAACTTATCCAAATTTAGTTACAAGGGTATGACGTCGAGATGCAGCATGGTTTTATCAGGACAGAGCAGAGTAAATGTGTAAATAAAACAATTCCCACTGGTTTTAATAAAAATACATCTAGCGCCCGAAAAGTCAGACTAAATACGACATTCCGCGCACCTTTGTTTTGGCCTTGTCAGAAACATGTAAATTAAACCTAACAGGTAACTCAACTGATTCCAGATGAATCTCTTCCCTATAAATGTCTCCTTCAACCTAATGTACTTCGTCATTATCCTATGCCAGAAGAGTTTTCAGCAACCTTAAAAGTAGTATCGCAATATTTCGAATATCATACCGACTCAAATATGAGGCGACCTGGTGTAACGTGGTGCTACTGATGGGGAGGCACGCGAGTAGTATGTGTTGTTCGTAGAATTTTACTTCACATCTTTTGAAAAGGGGAGATCTATTGAGGAATTCGTGGGACCACTTTGTAACATTTGCTTGGGTTTGACCGAGGAATGAGTGGAGTCAGTGAATCTCCAGGAAAGTTCAAGAAGACGCGTTCGTGAGAAGATGGGTGTCCAGTTTTTTAAGTAAGATGCAAATTAGAGTTTTGCTTTCTTGCTCAATGGTCTGTAACCGGTCAGTTGGCATTTCCTAATAAATAACTCCGTCCTGAAGGCCTTCTTCATTTCACTGGCACAGCACGAGTGATTTGGTTGAATTCGGTCGTGTCTCTCGTCATAAGCGAATCCATGTATGGACCAGAGTACCTTGCCAATTCCGTCTAATTTGGGTTCATCTGGGATATGAAGTTGAGGGAAACTAGAGTACTGCGCCTAGCTGATAAGCTGTCAAACAGATTTTACCAACTTTATTAGTTGTGTGTTGCATCTTGAACGAGCAGTATTCGAAGCGCCGATCAACGAGATGAAGTGATTAACAGGTCAATAAACTAATCATAATCGTTGCATTGCTTGCTTATCGTTTTCTATTTCATACTAAGTAATACAGTATTTTGCGTGAGTTTCACCCAGGTTTCGACTCCATAAAATACTCTCTTAATCTTACAAACTTCTGCAACAGTTCTTCGTGATTATTGCCAATTTCAGTTGCATTTGTTTGCCGTTTTTTTTTGGAAATCAGTAGTCACGTATCATGCTCGTATTAAGATAACATTCATTTTTGCTTCTCTCCATAAAACAAGCACAGAACCACGACTATTCTCATATCAAGTGTGTCGGTACAGTAACATATATATCCTCTGGGTCATAACAGAAAGTCCACATAGAGGTGAAACACAAAAGTTTACAACCGGCCTAAGTGAAAATCTTGCTTGATTAACCAATAGACCAGATCTTTAGAAGGTCGATTGCATTATCAGGATTACCCACGATTAGTTAAGAAAAGACTAAGGGTCAAGAGGGCCCGACGTCATAGAGATTCTCGTGCCGCCGACTCATGGTGACATAGCGTGGAGAGGTTTGTCAACAGAAAGAATGAGTTCCACGGGACCTTCTGTGCAAATGTTACTTCAAAAGCAGCAAACTCACTTCTGGCAAGTGGACTCTCCCTAGTTTTTTTTGAAATAGTGGTCATAACTGGACCAAGTGAACTTAGCAACGATGGAAGATGCCGAGTAAAGACAGTCAGCCCAGTCAGCTCCTGTTTCTGTTGGATGGTGTCAGTTGACTCATCCAGAGTACGAAGCCTTGCCGCAAAATTGCCGAAATGATCCATTAGCAAGAACCATACTCAAGGTCTTCACATAATCATCCAAAATGAACCAATAAACTCCCTGATAACTCAGGTTTTAGGAATAAACATCGGTTTTGACTAGGCTTGGGCAACCTGACAGTATCCCAGCCATCTTGCTTCCTTCGGGTGGCATGGCAGCTAGGCACCGGAAGGGTGTTAGAACTGAAAGATTTTAAAAGATTTACCAGGCGAACAGGTCAACTGCCACCTGATCAACTCACCTGAGCCATCAGTATCTGCCAAGGGTCAAGTCAGCTCCGGATCGAGACAACTTCCTTCTACTGTCTCCGCACTGGAAGTTCCACAGATAGACAAAATCCAATATGAATAACGATTATAGCGGGTAAATTCCATACACTATAACCAACTGCAACCGCGGCTGGTGCCCACATGCGTACCAGATGATAAGGAAACTCAATACCAAACGACCTCAGTCACCTAGAACGGGGTAAAAAAAACAGCGTTCTTTTGGACGCACGGCCGGTGTTTACCGCCACAGCGACCAGACAAGAAAACAATCTTGTTGTTTAAAACCACTTGTCTATAACGTTTGTTTTTATCTGATTCTCGTGACCTGCAAAACTGTTTAAAACGCAGGGATCACTTTCTAGACCGTTAGACTTTCAGAATGCATCGATGATTGTGGTTTATTCCGCAAAACTGCTAGTTTTGTTCGTCCCATGAACAGTGGCGTTTTTATAATGAGCATACAGACAATCAAAGACGTCATTGAGTGCTGCATTGATTAATAAGAGGCCAAGTTCAGACTGTCATGCTCGATATCTTTCTGCCTGAGATATTCGCTCATTTTTGGGACTTTTGTGCGTTAACCGGAAACCAGGTGAAACACGAATGAAACAAACAGGTTGCGATTGCATTATGCACAGAGCAAAAAATTAGACTCAAGTGACGCAAACACTCCGAAGCGATTGCGTTTTCGAGAGTGCCACCCAAAAAAATTTATTCGCATTTTAATTTGTGCGACATTTCCATCCCGTCATGAGTCGGTCAACCGAACGAGACTGGATCATACCGTGGTTGGACGATCTGTGTGCCTGCGTGACCCACTGAACTGTACTGGGGGTGCCAACACGACAAGCGCAGATTCCCTCATACCAAGTTGTCAATGTCCAGAAGCCTGAGTAACACGGTCTCCTGGTCCTCCTGACTGGAGGTTTGAAGACGTGTGGAGACTTGTTCTATTAAAATGGAAACGCACTTGCATTTTCCGCCAAACACCGCTGCTGTCTTGCATTCAGGAGGTTGAGTCAAAAGCTTTGATCACGGACCCTGATCGTCCTCCTGTCTAGATGTGGGTAGCCTGGTTGGATTCCAGCCCACATTCAATCTCGTGCCACATCGGCCATCGTACGGTGTCACCAGCCTGGTCGCCTTACTCGCTGCATATACCAGGGTGAGTAAACAAAAACAGGCTACTGCTGAAGACTGCCTTCTTCGTCTCGCACATACGTTTTCTTTCCCCTCTCCCCACACCGCATTAATCATTCTCTCACTGTTGGCCCAGCGCTTAGAACTGATGACCCCTTTCGTCCTGCAGTGGTTTTGCAAGCAGCATCCCCACGTCATCTGGCCTCGACATCCTCAGACATCCCAAAATCAATCTTCATGCCTCGACTCCCGGTTTATCAGACTGCTCTCATTGTCCGCACTCTGAGACAAGCAGGACAACAAGCTGCTCTCTCTTCCCTCACACTGAACTCGCTTGGCATTGATGTGTAATGAGTCTGAGTAACAAGAATTCAAGATACACACACAGTGGCTGAACTGACTCTACGACATCGAAGCATCAGTGTCGAACATAGTTATTGTGTGGAGATTTCCTCCTGTAAGTGAAGCCAATCTATGCTGAAAAGCCGAGAAGTACTGTACAGCTGTTTCATCCTTATTGGGAATCATCAGCAGTGCGCATCTCACGAAACTCCGAAGGGTCTCGAACGCGCTACCTCAATATATAAGTCAATATAAGCCAATAAAAGATCAGTCGTCTCCAGCTACGGCTTTTCTTTAGCGCATTTTCACCGTATAAGGGTCATATTGAAATGATGTTAGATGTATCCTTTGAGTGTGAGATTGGTCCAGTTCCCTTGTCCCGTAAGCCTTTGACAGAGTAAGTCGTAGAACACAGATCAAACGATCAAACCACCTAGCCAAACATCTATTGGTGTACATTTTTCGAGTTGACAAACGATTTAGCTTTCTCTGGCTTGCTTTAGCGTGAAACACAACAATATCCACAAACGCTGATATGTTTTCAAAATCACTTGTTGTTGATTCGTTTACCGGTACAAATTTTTCGTTCACGACATATCTACGATGCTGTTCTCGCTCCACTGCCTAGTATCGGAAAAAGACTTACCGATAAAGAACTAGCGAGGTCGTGCGAGTGCAGGCGGCGCCGCGCTATTTACAGGGTACTTTTTGTCACTGAACCAGACTGTCTGACAGGCGTTTAGGGAACACCCATCAACATCGACCGCGCTTTTACGAGATGCCTGAACGTTGGTCATATTCGGTCGTGCTTCTGTGGCGTGCCTGAGCACTGATCGGTTTTCGATCAATTGACTGAATGAATGACTAACCTGGATGTTTGCCGGCTTTCCTATTGAGATTTTGGTGGAGTTTTAGAGTCTCAGCAGGTTCCGGGCGTTCTCGGGTTATTTTCAGGAATGTGACCATCTTGATACTCATTCAGTCAGCATTTCTTAGGTAAACGCGATCTCCTTGGCTGTGTCTACCTAAGACAGACTCGTTATGACGTTAAAAACAAGTCACGTGTCCTTTCATAAAGGTTGCTGAAAACTGTTCGACAGCCCATGACCGGTTTCGCCCTTCTTGGGGCTCATCAGGTGGGCGCAGTCCCCGAGTTTCCGTCAACCTTATGTTCTACTTGAACTCAAATTGGAATGTTTTCGAGAAATACACTCATTTGCAGATCAATTTGGTTTTCACAAGAGACCCAACCAAATCTCTCGTTTATGATATTTTGCAACTGAATGCTCTGTACACAGGCCGCCTCATGATTCAGTTGGCACGATATCCGAGATATCATGAACGAGAGATTCAGTTGAGTCTCTCGTGAAAACCAAATTGATTTGCAAATGAGTGCAGTTCTTGATGTCACGCGTCCTTTTGAAAATGATATTCAGTTACCTAACCAGCATGAAATCTTCGTGAGTTTTTCTGAACCACCTCTTCCCAGATATGATGCTTTCAAAATTGCATCCCATGATAAACGAAAGCATTGCTTTTTAGACAGGTGACTACTGCGATTGGTCGGACTTTTGAAGAGCTTTACAACGACGGTTCTTCCCAAACTCACCGATTAGGACATAATCTACCCCCTTCACCAACATGAAAAAATGCTCCGTCTTTAAACTACTTTTATTTTTTCATAAACGAAACTACTCACAAGGCTGCTGAAAACTCTTCAACAGCCCACGACCGGTTTCGCCCTACTTGGGGCTCATCAGGTACGCACAGTCCCCGAGTTTCCGTCAACCTTATGTTCTACTTGTATTTTTGTTGTAAGCATACATATGTGCTCTTACCCTGGTATTGTTTTACCTGTTTCTACACGATTGCCTACCTACATGTATGGGTAGACGATCGAAGGTATACTATTGCTTGTTTTTCCTAACTGTTTGCAACTGTGAAAAAGTGTGATCAGTTGATCTATGCATTGTAGTGGGTTACAGTGACAAAACTCAACAGTAACGGTTGAAGGCAGGCATGTGTGTTTTCATAATTGACGATAATAATGCCCAGTCTGGTACATATTGTTACATACATATTTTTAGGTGGAAACAATGAGTACGGCATCTCTTCAGTCTGTCCTAGACATTCCTGTCTACTTAGAAGAAGCACACCATCTACGAGAGATGACCGTGTGTCTAAGTTGACAGGAAACAGATAAATAAAAAAATCAACCTTGATGTACTAATTGACTTATAGATTTTAGCAATTCTTATCACAGCCTCCTCAATAGGCCTAAGCATTATCGCTCAAGGTCAGTTGACGGAAAATCGAGGACTGTATCTACCTGATGAGGCCCAAGAAGGGTGAAACCGGTCGTAGGCTGTCGGAGGGTTTTCAGCAACCTTGTGAGTAGTTTCCTTTATGAAAATGAGTTGTCAGTACTTTTGTTCGATTGCATCCCGGAAATGTTGACGGATCGATGAGGTCACTGATCAAACAGTTATTTCCATTTGGAACACCAAGACTGCTACATGTAGCTATTCCATAGTATATCGTCATTACCGGGGAGGATAACCGAAATGAAAACTCATTTTGGAGTAAAATTTCGGATAGACCAGCTACAGAATACACCAAGTACTGGACAACTTGTGATTGCTTCTAAAGACCCTGATGGATTTCTTGCAGTGGACTAGGTAAAAACGTGATTTTTTGTGACGAAGAGAGACAGTGAGCGCTGAGGTGAAATTTGCTTGATGGCCACCAGATGTCTTCCGCTGCATGTCATTCAGGTATTTCGAAACGGGTGATTTCGGACACAGAGAAGCAAGTGCTCTTCCGTCCTAACACTTAGTCAACTATCGAATCTGCTATTGTCGGATAGTATGGGTGCCAAAATCTTGAATTGATGGGTTGGAGGGGTTCAAAATTAGTTCCCGATCGCTTTCTGTTCCTTAATCTACGGTTCACGTCACACAGACTGATCGCCGAGGCGGTAGAAATCGCCAAGCATCCCAGCGTTAACAGAATGGAAGGCGTGGAACTGGCTAGCGTATGGAGAACGGTCTTGGGTCACTCGACTCGACACGTGTTGGGTGCTGTCATCAGCAGTAACAGTGGTCATCATCTGAAATCCACTTGACCTCAACCCCCCTCAAACTAAATTGTCGGAGCACTCACAACCTCAAAAAGACCAGGGAAAATCTAACAGCGTCACCCGAGGTGAATCATCAAGTGAAGCATCCTGAAGTGGAAGATTAAGGAACAAAAAGCGATCGGAACTAAGTTGGAACCCCTCCAACCCGTCAATTCATGATTTTGGTACCCATACTAGCCAGCAAGAGCCGTTAATCGACACTCAACACTGATCTAGTGTGAAGAGGACTTACTGTTTGGTTCCCTGTCTGTCTTATAACCTGGCCAATTTGGTGACCTGTTCACTTGGCCTGATGAAGCTCTTGTGTCAAAAGCGAAGCGTTGCCCAAATAAAAACTACCGATTGTTTACCATGCTCTTCTGAAACGAAACTGAAAAGGGTTTTTAGGTGCAGTGCACCTTCCATGATGGAGTTGTCGTGGTCCCCATGGCTAAGTTGAATGCGTTGCAGGAAATGGTGATTAATCTACGCCACTGGCAACCCAGAATGCTTTGGTAAGGCCTGGACCAGGTCTTTCCCTCGCCTACTCTTTCCCTTTTTTTCAATTTGGCGCTTTGAGCACAATTAAACAAACTTTGTAGCTGTACGTCAGTCAAACATCAACTCCAACAATGATGTTCTTCTGTCTGATAATGATCTCGGTATAGTAGCGGCATCAGACAGAACTTCTGTTCTTCCCAGCTGGGATAGTACGACCATTCCAATTTTTAAATTGTACGTCTTTAACGCCAATAATACTCGTGATTACGTTTTCCGGTGCATTGTATCAGACTGTCGGAGTAGTTTCAACAAGGCTTAACCGTGCTGTCGGGCCGCTCACCTAACCCCCCACCAAACGCCCCAGATATAGTGGCCTGGATCGTCGGCGATCGTGGGATTAACTCTCATGCTCTGAACGAAAATTCCACACTCACTCCAAGTCTCAATCTTGTTTGGTTCCGTTCACACCAGATGTCTCTGTCAAATGACAGGGTTAGTTTACTTGTCTGACAAGTAAATGTAACGCAACCTTGGACGAGACTAGACATCACATGAGCTAGTTCACATTTGCCATTCTCACCGTGGCGTGGGAATACATTGGAGTGACTGGTTTTCTTAGAGTTATTCTGCTAATATATGCGAACGTTTTCGATTTGGAGATGACCGTTCTGCAGCTTTGTATCGAAAGTGTGTTAGAGTTGATCCATTCAGATTCGACTTCTTGTCAGTTTTGGTCATGTTATTCTGATCACTCTGATTAGTCTGGTCGTGTACGAGAGAATGTGTGTACGTGGTCGAGAGTGTACGGAGAGGTCTCCAAAAGCTTCCCTACCCAAAGCGGTGTCCGTCAGGGACGCCCATTCTCTCCATTCCTTTTTTAAATTTGTGATCGATGAAATAATGAGACGAACGCTGGAGGGTCTCCAAAACCCTGGTGTTCAAACAGCCTGTGAAGAAAACTTTGTCGATCTGGAATATGCAGACGATATCATTCTCATGTTCAAAGAGGAGGAGAAGACGCGAGTATTCTTGGATGAACTGACCTAAGTCATCCCATCTTTTGGTATGCAATTTGCATCTGGCCTGTTCGGGCAGCGGAACTGAGACGTATTCAGGTGTTCGACAATCGTCGTCTCCGAATCATAGCTCGTGTGAGTTGGCGTTCGCGAATCCGTAATGAGGCATTTGGAAAGCGCGATTTCCGTTGTGTAACGGGTAATTCCATTGAAGAATGTGTCCAACACCACAAGCTGCGTTGGTTGGGA